TGAGAATAATAAATTTTACCTTTCTCACAACCCTGGCTGCAGAAATACGGAGACCATTAGGGTCCTTCAGGATTCCAGGGGAACCAGAGACAACCTCGGCATCTCCCTAGATCAAGGCAATTATAATGAGACTTTAAATTTTGTCAAAATTTGCGACAAAAATGTTTGGAATGTTGGAACCTCGCGAATTTTGTTTTACTAGGCTTTTATTGCGCCCATCTTCAATTTCAATTTTAACAATGAGTACATTGTAGAACAAAAAACTAAAGTTTGCGGATTCCATAAAGATATTTCGTGGATTTTCAAACTTCTAAAAATTTAAATTTGGTAAAGGCAAAATTTCTAAAATTCTATCATCCATACACACTCCCTGGGTCATGTGAGGTCCCACACAAAATTTGGGTCCGATCGGTCGAGCCGTTTTTAAGTTTATTGAATACAAACAAACAGACAAGGCTCGCCCATCTGCTATTTCACTTGTAAACATGTTCTCTTTGAATACATTGTAAAACAACAAATTAATTTTTTGGATTTAATAAAAAAAAATTTGTGGATTTTCACAAACTTTCAAAATCGAATTTTGTAAGAGGCAAATTTTGGAAAATTCGATCAACCTTAGTCATTTCCTGGGGTCACGCGAGGTTAAAAAAAATTGGGCCCGATCGGTTCAGCTGTTTTGGCGTTTATTGGATACAAACAAGCAAAATATAAATATAGATGACTTATCTTTACTTTTTTAAGGGAAAATATGAATTTTTGGCCAGGGTAAATCGCGTGAGAAAATAACTTCGAGTTATCCCTCGAGTTGGTAATTATGATGACTATCCGTGGAGTTGAAATTTTCTTAAACTTTCAGTCCCATTTATTTACAATTCTTGTTCGCTTAAGATGGTTCAACCAATTAAAACGACCTACTCTGGTAAGGTGGGTCCTTATCTACATAATAATTTGGGCTTTATCCTTTTTATTATCTCGTGCTTTGTAGTTGCATAATAATAAATAAAAAATAAATAAATGAACTTTCAATTTTTTTTAGATCTAAAAATGAATGTTCCGAGCGAGTTTTTGAATTTCAGGGGAAAGGTAATTTCTTTTGCCTTTTCTTTGGCAATAGGAAAAAAAAATTTGTCACACCGATTTTAAAATTTCCCCCTTTCTAATTTCTTCGTCTTAGACCTTTAACTTCTTGAATTCAAACGTAGTGTTGACTTCTTGACTTCGATACGGTCTTTGCCCAACAAAGCTTTTGACCTTTTTGACCTTTCGTTCTTTGCTTTATAATTAACAAAAGGATAAACCCTACCTCAGACTTAGATCTCGCAGGTTCCAGATCTTCAATAATTTCATCAATTCCTTCATCAAACTCTTCATTGGCAGGATTAACAACAGGAAGCGGCATAATGGAGGTAGAGCTCTAGATTAATAATGGAGGTCAAATTCTATATTGATAAAATGTAGAGCTTTAGATTAATACTGGAGGTATTATGGATATATAATAAAATGGATATATCAGTCATGGTTAGATGTAATTTTATGGCTGGGGTGTCATGTAATACGTTTGACATTGGACCCTGGACTTACAATTTGTCTATGGTTTTCGTAAAGTTAATAATTGTCAAAGAAGTAAAGAAAACATTTAAAATCTTTAAAACTTAGTAAAATTCAGCCTCATTCTTTGTATCATAAGTTATCAACCTTTAATACTTTGAATTTTAGGCAAAATTCCCAATATCTCAGTCAATTCTTAAGGTACCAAACGGCAGACCACAATTTGGAAATCTCAAAACACGCATAAGATGCTAAACAACTCTAAGGAGGCAATTTATAATAACAAGATTTTAGCTGCAGTACATCATTTCTGCTTACTCCAGGGCCCACGATATAATATAGCTCTTATCTGATTTGGACCTTGAACTTCAAATTATTTTTATAGAATGATACTAGCCATAATAAAAATATGTTAAGTGAAACCTTAAGTACACCATTAAGATTCAAAATGGAGTTATAGCTTTAGATTAATATTAGATGAATAACATTCATTATTTATGGAAGTGTACAGCTCAAAGTTTATAATGGAGGCACCTCACTAGGTAAATAACTTTGTATTAATAGTGGAGGTGTAGAACTCAAATCACAAAATGGAGATAACTCAAAAGAATTATTCGATTAATAATGGAGGTTTAGCACTCAAAGTTCGTAATGGATGAAGCTCACTAGGTTATTGAGGAAAGTACAGTCCTCACTAGATTACTAAGAGACATGATTGAGTGTAGAGGTTTAGCATTCAAAGTACGTAATGGATGAAGCTCACTAGGTTATTGAGGAAAGTATAGTCCTCACTAGATTACTAAGAGACATGATTGAGTGTATAGAGGTTTAGCACTCAAAGTTCGTAATGGATGAAGCTCACTAGGTTATTGAGGAAAGTACAGTCCTCACTTTATTACTAAGAGACATGATTGAGTGTAGAGGTTTAGCACTCAAAGTACGTAATGGATGAAGCTCACTAGGTTATTGAGGAAAGTATACTCCTCACTAGATTACTAAGAGACATGATTGAGTGTAGAGGTTTAGCACTCAAAGCTCATCATTAAATTAATGGAGGTAATTCACAGTAAAATAGATTGATAATGGAGGTGTAGAACAGTTCATGACAGAGGTAATTCAGAGAACTATAGATTAATGATGGAGGTGTAGAACACAAAGTTCATAATGGAGGTCATTAACAGAGTTGAAGAATTATAATGGAGGTATACAATTTAACGTTGATAATAAAATAAAGGTAGCTAGCTACAGTGTATTAATAGAAGTAAATAACTTCATACTAAATATGTAGGTGTAGAATACTGTGTTCATTGTGAACGTGGCTAGCTATAAATTATTAATTGGAGGTAGAACTCGAGATAACTGAAGGATCTAAAAATATGACTTAAGAATCATTTCAGTTGTTACGTTAAGTCAAGCACTACAGTATTTATTTTTATCCTTATAAATGCAGTATCATCAATATTACATAATCAAACATTCTGGGTCCGTCATAGTTTACGATTTTTTGACTCCGACCCCCCACCCCCCTCCCCCAATCAATTTTGTACATCACCACTACTTTACAAAAAAATTAATACATATTTTGAAACATTTTTAAGGCTAGGCAAGGCTATGCCAATTTCAGGGCCGAGCGGTGCGGCTCGGACGGGTCTGTCCCAGAGAACGATTTTTGGACCCCTCCCCCTCCTATCAATTTTGCACATGACCACTATATTCAGTTGAATTAGTATTTATTTAGGGTTGGGTTAGGTTAAGACACTTTCTAGGCCGAGCGCTGTGGCCACGGGTTAAGTTAAGACACTTTCTGGGCCTAGCGCTGCGGCTAGGACAGGCTAGGGGGCCGAGCGCTGCGGCCACATGTCTTACAATTAAGATCCATGTACAAAATTGATAGGAGAGGAAGGGCCGCGGGGGTCCAAAAATTACTCTAGGAAATAACCGGCTAGGACATGCTAGGGGGCCGAGCGCTGCGGCCACATGACCAAAACTTTTCGGAAAAAATATTTTGGGTCTGTCCTAGTATACGATTTTTGGAAGACAGACTAGGAAGCCGAGCGCTGCGTTCTCTAGGAATTTACACAGACCTGAAGAAATTTTCACCTAGAGTTTAGATAAATAGCCGATTTATACTTTAATTTAGAACATTAATCGAGTTTCTTTATCAATTTAAATGAGATACCTTTAATTAACTAATAAAACCATATAAGTACATAAACTATAAATTATAGTCTAATAATTGTATATTAATTACCTAGAAAGACTGTGAAGAAGAGTGAGAAGATTTATGAAGACTGGTTTTGAATTTTAATTTGATTTTAATATGTTTAACACTTTAGAGAACAAAACTGACAACCGTCAGAAAAGGGTTGAATCGAACCAACGGATCGATAAGATCGTTCAAAAAATCGAATATTTCTGCTCAAGTTCTTAATAACGTGGAAATTTGTTAGATTGTGAATTTTCAGTGAAGGATGTGTTGTGGATTCGACGTAATAGAAAACTGGAAATGTCGGCAGCTTCGCAAACAGCTGATGTCGGGCCCCATACCGCGGTACACTTGGAAAACAAACTAAATATTAAACAAAGAAAAATTTAAAAATTTAAAAACGTTTTAATTTCTTCAATGATCTTTATTTCAGTAATTAGTTTGATTTTATGTTTTTTTATTTATTGCTATCGAACCCACGGTTTGTATGCAACTTCAATTTGTTTTGTCACATGACACAAAGAAACCAATCAGACGTGAGCTAGGAGAATCCGACCAATCACAGAGAAGTAGGTTGTTTAACCCTGAAAAGTCTGTTCACGAAAATTCTAGAATCTATACAAGACAAGCCTCTATTCTGAAACCGGCTGCATTCAAAGGTGGGGGATAGGGCGAAATTGATCAGAATTCCCAATCAGCTGAAGGTCTCGGCGTTGCCCGTGAAAAAAATATTTGAAAAAAAATATTAAATTTTTTTCTTAAATTACCAATTTGTTTAGCTTTAAAGCTTAAAACATCCCCCGGCCACCCATGAGTGTCCACAACAAATGTCAGCCCATTCGGTCCAGCCATTTGGCCGGCTTTATAGTCAACATATAATGCCATGTATATATATATATATGAACGTCTTGTATTTATAGATAACGTGATGGGAAATAATAAAGATTTTTGATCATGAAATGGGCGTTCACAGAAGGGATGGGTTTACCTCAAGGAGATATTGAATAGAAGGAGGGGGCGATAGGGTTTCCGCGTACACTTTGCTGTGACGTTTTTGGACTGCTGAAGAAATGGTTTTTGCGTAACAATAATAACAAAGGCAGCCCATCTAATGTAAACAAACATGATTTAGTAAAATGTGAAAGCAGTATTAAATCTTGTTAAAAAAGAATAAAAAAGTTAAGGATTTTAGTTAATTTATACGAAAAGGACCTTATTACAGAGACATTTTTTAGCAAATTCAAGGTTATCTTCCCCCTAGATGTCTGTTTATTATTTGTGTTATTGTTTACAATCTTTATTATTGTTTTTACGCTAAAAATAGTTCTTCAGCAGTCCAATAACGTCACAGCAAAGTGTACAGAAACCCTATCAGCCCCTCCTTCTAATCTCCTTGGTATGGTTTACCTCATGCATATGGGATTGTGTAAAGCCATTTAACTAAAAAATTTTTGTACTGGACAGCTAATTTAAAACATCCAATAATTTTTTTAAAATTGTAGAATTGTTGAATCACTTTGGAAGAAGTAATCAGATTGTAAAACCAGAGCTGAAAACTTCAGAATGAGATATCCTTACAAATTCCAATGGACACACTCTTGATTTTCTTCCTAAACCGTTCTTTCTTGGATATGGTAGAGAAAAAATCAAAAACCGGTTTTTTAAAATTAGAGAGTCCCTCCGTTTCTGTATATCTTAAATGGCGCGCAAAATTTTGAATTTATCGGCTTCTTATTCGCGACTCAGATTAATTGGTTAAATTTTATACACTTTTCAGGATACAAGTACAAGATTAGGTTAGACTCGATAATATGAAAAAGAGAGGATCAAGCATTAATCTCGATTCTCGATATATAAACCATTCTAAAGTTTTAAGCTCAGATCTGACCTAATAGACTTAACCTGACTTAGCTGGTCAGGAAAGGTGCTATCTCATTTGGACTACTGCCGTTTGAACTATTGTTCATTTGAACTATTGTTCATTTCAACTACTGCACGTGGGACCACGTGAGTAGTTTAAATGAACAATAGTTCAAACGAGTAAAATGAATTGGGGTAGAAAAATAGTTCAAATGAGCAAGAAATGCGTTGATTTAAACTACAGGATATGACGTCATGTCAGTAGTTCAAATGAACAATAGTTCAAACGAACAATAGTTCAAACGAACAATAGTTCAAACGAACAATAGTTCAAACGTACCATAGTTCAAACGGCAGTAGTTCAAATGAGAATCCACCGTCAGGGGATGTTCTTACTGAACAGTCACTGCAGTGTAGGTTTGAAATTGCACACGGTTTGGAACTCAGATCTGATTCTTAATACCCATCTTTTTGCCACCCAATTTGTCACAAACCTAAATATTTAAAACTATGAATTCTGTTAGATGAAAAAATCTAAAATTTAAGATATAAATTGTTTATACCAACAGATTGCAAATATAAAGGAATGAGAACATTTGAGTTTTAGGCAAAAACTATATATTAAAAAAAAAGATTAATATAACTGATTACTCGCCTTATTATCAAATTTTCTAATGTTATTTGAAAACCTGCATATTTCAAATTATAAACTCTGATGATCAAACAGCTAAATAGGAAATAAAGATTGATTACTCCATTATGGTTACAAAACTCAACGTGGATTAAACAAATTAAAAGCTTGATGCAAGTAAACAGTTTCTTATTCGAAATCTGGCGTTTACGCAAATTCCAATTTATTTTTAGTGAATCAATCTTTTGAATTAGTTATATTATATTAATTTCATATTTACTTGACTGTTTTGTGTTTAAACCCCGACTTTTAATAGATTTTTTCTTTATATTATAAGTTGTAATCTCTGTTTGTATTTTGGGATGTCCTATTTATCTTAACTCCGGAACCTCTCTTTACCGATTTGCCTCCATAATTTATTGGAAAAATTCTTGCAACTTAGTTAAAGAATATTAAGTGGAGCATGGCTGACTTTAAAAAAGCATAGTTTCCAGACATTAGCTGGGTTATCAAGCTACTTTGTATTAAAATAGATATTTATACAAACATACGTACAATGTAAAATTTAAATCAATATCATGTTAAAATTTCATGTCATTTTTATTTATAAAAATCCAAGCTGCAGAATTGGACAGAATTTGCATTTTTTATTAATTCACTCTTACAGCGCTATATTGTTGTATCTTTGATAAATTCAGTCTTATGGCACTATATTGTTGTATTTTTGATAAATTCAGTCTTATAGCGCTATATTGTTGTATCTTTGATTAATTCAGTCTTATAGCCCTATATTGTTGTATCTTTGATAAATTCAGTCTTATAGCCCTATATTGTTGTTTCTTTGATTAATTCAGTCTTATAGCGCTATATTGTTGTATCTTTGATTAATTCAGTCTTACAGCGCTGTAGTGTTGTATCTTTGATTAATTTAGTCTTAAAGCCCTATATTGTTGTATCTTTGATTAATTCACTCTTATAGAGCTATATTGTTGTATCTTTGATTAATTCAGTCTTACAGCGCTATAGTGTTGTATCTTTGATTAATTTAGTCTGCTATATTGTTGTATCTTTGATAAATTCAGTCTTATAGCGCTATATTGTTGTATCTTTGAATGTTGTAATGCCTTCCTTGCAGGCCATTGGTCTGCTGGGACAGGTAATCCTGAACATCATTGTATTAGGAAATGAAATTAATTTTACTTGATTTACAGGGTTACCCTCAATGGATGAGATTTTTTGAGACAACTGTACATATTACAGAATTAATGCTCCCTTCTATGACAATTTTAAAGCTTGTTATTTTATTAATCATACTAAACATAATGTAACCAACCATACAATATTTATAAATTTTTTTATAGATACATTTCTTGCCATAAAACCGTAAAATTTTATGAATTAGCAATTATAAAGTAAAATTTGTAATGCGTAATATTAATTTATTAATTGGTTGAACGATTTATTAATTGATTGATTAATTTATTGAACAGATTTAACACTTGTAATCAGTCTTCTTAACTTGCACATTAGCAAAGCTGGAAACCTTGTCCTTCAGAGAGATAGATTCCTCCCAGCTGAAATATAAAATATGTCAGGGGTATATATTTTCAAGAAATTATTTCAAGATTTGAAGGATGGAGGAGGGCCGAGGCCTGAAGGAGGGGGGGGGGGTGAATGAAAAATTAGACAGCAATTAATTAACAAGTGTTTTCCTCTTTTTTTGTTACTTTTTACCCAAAATCAAATTTTTTTTTCTTAAATCATTTATTTTCTCCAATTTTTTAAATTTTAAGCTTGTACCTATCTCCGTTCCATTTTTCAATGATCTCAACTGGTGCTCCCCTGTACTGACCACCAATGGCCATGATAGTTCCCTCGACATTGTTGAGGACAAGTCCGTCTCTAGCATTGTTCAAAGGAGATAGTTCGGTCCATTCGTCTGATAAAAGTAGTCATAATAAATAAAGGAAAACATGTTTAATTATAATTTTTTTTACTTAACAACAAATATGGTGTAATTTAAGTAAAAATAAGAACCAACGCCACAATTTTAGAGTTTTTGAAAGCATTTTAGCCAAATCAAAAACAGAGCAATTGTTGTTTTATAAGATACATACACTAAACAGTGCAATAATAATCTTTCTTTTCACTTATTACATTTAGCTTTTAAGGAGAAAACAAAAATAAAACATTTTTTTTGGTTGGAAATTGAAGATTTAAGAAAACTTTTTAACAAAAGAAATAATTGTTAAGGAGCACAAGGACTGTATGTATTATTCTTAAAATCAAAATTGTGAATAATTGTTAAGTTTGCAGAGCACCAGCATAAAAAATAATCTTTTTAGATCTTCTTGAAAATTTGTTGAAATTTACCTGATTCAAAATCATAGAACATGGTTGAGTCAAGGCGTAGTTGATAGCAGTCAGGATGGTTGGGGTTTCCATTGCAGAACCCTCCAGCAATCATTATTCCATCCCTTTTTTTTTAATTTCAAGATGTCATTTATTCTTAGAAAAATTTCATCAATAAAAATTCAATGAATGAAAGATTCAATGATAAACCTTTGGGCAATACCCTCGGGTTGTTTATCAATGAATCCTTCAGGGGTTTAAGTTTTAATGTCACTTTCACCTATACATTTTTTGTATTTTTTTAAAAATAAAAGTGTGTCAATTTTAAAAGTTTCTTTGGCCCTCATAAATATTTCTTTGTAAAACCTGCGGGTTAAGTGAAATACAGTTTAAGAAAGTGATCAGTGGAAAAAAATATTTATGTATGGAGAAACACCATGCCTCCTTTCAATTGGTTCAAATTTTTCTGAGACTATGATTCATTGTTGCACCAGTCTGAATGAGAGCATGAGCATTCTTACTAGTCCAGTGAAGTTAAAGTTTTTAAGATTTATATTCTTATAGGTTGGTGAAATAAGGCAATGCTTGATTAAATACCTTCCATTATGAGTTGTTTTGATGCACCCATGCCCTTGTCTGGGAATTGGAATGTCCTTAAAAATAGGAGTTCACATATAGAACTGGGCACATTCTGACCTTTTTCATGCCATTCATAAATAATTAGTTAAAACTGTAAATTACTTATAAATCAGGTAGCTTCTTGGTTTTAGTTAAAAACAAAAAGTTTTTTTTGTTAATGGCATTTTCTGCTATTTAAAAAATTACTGGTTGTTTACAATATCTATATTATTAACGGTCTTAACAGAAGATATTTTAAAAATTGTTAACAGTGCCAGCCATAAACTAGCATTGCAATTATTTCATATTATTGCAATTCTATTGGCAGACAACAAAAATATTTGCTTGAACCTTTAAGGGTATTTAAAAGGAATTTACTTAATTTTTTGGACTACAAAATTAAAGATATCTAGAGAATTAATAATGCAAAAGTTCTTATCTCCAATTTAATAACTTTTCAGTGATTCACCTTTCCTTTTGTCCATTGTCCAGTTTTATAGTTGAAAATTTGAACATCAGCAATATCATATTGACCATTACTATCCCATGTATTGCCACCTGAAATATCATATTGACCTTTACTATTTCATGTATTGCCACCTGAAATATCATACTGAACTTACTATCCCATGTATTTCCAAAAGGCCCTTTCCAAGTGCTGCAGCTAGAATATGCTAGAGGGCTGAGTGCTGCGACTAGAACATGCTAGAGGCCTGAGCATTGCGGCTAGAACAGACTTTGGAAGTTGCTGCTTTTTAAATTGCACGTTTAGGACATTGCCACTTGGGAAAATACCCTTGGTAAGGTGCCACTTTGGAAAGGACCTAACATCTAAAATCCTATTTAAATAAAATAAAAGAATTAAAATTTCCTACCCATGAAGACAAAATGATCCTCGTCATACTGAAGAGCACAATGTGAGTAAACTCCTTTCCCATCAATAGTTCCAATATTATCCCACTGGCAGCAGTTCTGGAAGGAAGCAAAATAATAAATAAAATTCCAAACAAGAAACAAGAAGCAAGAAGAAAAAAGAAAATTGAACAGGAAAAATTGGAAAGGAAAACTCTTGATATTAGAGATGGGGGCTTGGAAGATGTTCCCCCCTGCCCGGGGAGGGGAAGGGGTGAGATGCTTGCTCTCAACCCCCTCCCCCCAAGAAAGTATCAGGAATTGTGTGTTTTGATTAGTCAGATGTAACCATGAGTAAAAAAATTCAATACAGAGTTCAGAAAAAAAAGAAAGCAAGATCCTCTTAGCTAGTTCAATTCAAGAGAGTTCAGAAAAAAAGCAAGATCCTCTAAAAATAGTTCTTTCTTGTAGAGTGGCATACTACAAGGATATAAAAAAAAATTCTTTCAAAATTAGCTGAAATATGATTGAAAGATGTACAAACAAGAAAAAAATGAAGAACAAGAAATATAGAAGTCGCCAAATATTTTCATCTGATATCATATAAATATTTTATAGTATTGTAAAACATGATAAAGTAAATTATTAAAATTAAAATCCTTTATAATTGCATTATAAGAGATCTTTAAAAATATGTTTATAATTTTTAATTTTGTTTTATTTTTATTTTTAATGCTTACTGAGGTGCAATCTGGATCATAGCTCTGTAGCATTTGAACATCTTTCAACCAGCCAGCTTTACTAGAATATCCTCCAGAGATAACAATCTGATAATTCAAATAAAATCATTATTTTGCTTCGGGACCAAGGTTGTTTGTTTATTAAGGTTATTAAGGTTAGTTCATAGATTAATTAATAATAATAGATTGGGTACTAAATGTTGTCTTTTCAAGATTCGGGGTTTTTTTGTTCACAATATAACCCAAGGCAGAGGCCCAAAGGAGTTCCTGACTTTTGAAAATTCAGTGACGTCATTTGAGGATTTTTAGTCTAGACTTTAGATTTTTAGTTTTTTGGCTTTGAGACAACATTTTCCCTACTGATCTTAATAAACAAACCGAAAAAGCTATACAAACTAAGTCATTATATATATATAATGAGTTTTTGCCAACATTCGCTCAGAGTAAGGTTTCAAGGGTATTCCATAGTGAAAATGGAACTGCAATCTTTGCATGGAGGTGGTCACTGAAAATTACGCATACATAGGGCTGGGCACGTTCCGACATTTTTGAAATTGTTCCGTTCCGTTCTAGAACGAGGGCCTTCAGCTAAATCGTTCCGTTCTCGTTCCTCTTTTTTTTATTGTTCCGTTCTCGTTCCGTTCCGTCCTGTTCTGTTCCGTTCTGAGTAGAAGAACGGTCTTCCCATTCCGTTCCGTTCTTGGCGTTCTTAGTTGAAGAATGGTTGCATCCCTCTTGTTCTGTTCTTAATTAAGAACGTTTCCATCCCCCGTTCTGTTCTTAGTAACGAACAATTACATCAAAGACAAAAGTTTTATAGAAAAGAGTTGGTTAAAAAGTAAAAAAATTACAATTTTTTAATAAAAAGGTCCTCACGGCCGTAAATAATACTTTAAATTATATATTTTAAATTTAGGGTTAAAAGAATAAGCTTAGATAATTCTGAGCAATGTATAATTTTGTGAGAGCGGGGGNTAGATTGCAGCAATTGTACTCCTACTTTTTTTCACAACAGAAACTTTTACAAGTCATAATTATTTTCTGGACCTTTGTACTTCTTTTCATCTCATAGAATTTAAGTTTAAGTTAAGTTTTTATTTTCAAAAATGTCTTTTACTATCTCTAGTTTAAATACTAAATATACCTATAAAAGTATAATAAAATGTCGATTTTTTAGAAACAATGCTTAGAAGGTAATTATTTGGACTGTATGTGTGCCTTTTAAGTATCTTATACTTATGCCTGATATCCAAGAAGCCAAGTGTTATGAATTTACAGTTCGAATTTTGCCCCCCCTAGGAGCTCCTAGGGGGGGGCAAAAAATTTTTTTGCGCTTCGCGCAAACCTTGCCCCCCCTACATTTACTTCTGTATACGCCCTTGTTTACAACGACTCCTTTAAAAGATTTTCATTTGTGGTTTCTCTGAAAAAGTAATTTGCGCTTTCTCGCTTAGAAACAAAGAAGAAATTCGCAGAAAAACGACATTATCTTCCATAGTTTTTATAAAAATAAGGTTTCGTACTCTTTGCATGGAGGGTCACTTTAAATTACGCTTCCAGACTTCTTAAGACCGAATATTGCTTTCTGTCAAAAAAATAAACTAAGTACTAACTTTTCCATCGGAAGTGGAAAACATGTTGGCGTTTATTCGTTCTCTCTCCAGCTCACAAACATCTCTTTTCCAGCTACTGGATCCTGCAAATACATGTGTATTGCCAAAGAGAATGTATTAGTAGTGATATTAGCTCGAAAACAAAGTGTAAAACGGCCATTTTGTTTTACTGTTTTAATACTGCAGGTGAATTGTGCATCGGGTTTCTTTACGGAAAAACAATTAATTCAGTTTTAGAAATGTTTGAACAAACTTTTTTTTAAATGGCCTCAATAACAATAATAATTTTCGCCTGTGCCGCGTTTTTGGTTCCTGAATGTGTTCCGAAATAAATCTAGCACCCCCCTCACTTAAATCCTGTATCCGCCCCTGTATCAACACGTTTTTTTTATTGCATGGCATGCAACAAGATGCATTTTGAATGTGTACAGATCAAGTTTAGCTCTATTGAATATAGTTGCTCTATTTGTGCAAGGTTGCCCACAAAGTATGAAACTTTCCTGACGATCGTAAACATGACTTTTTTGTTAAGAATGTACATAAGAAAACCTTATAATCCAAACTCAAAAGGATTGATTTTGAAGTACGCTGCAGTTATCTAAGAATTACAAAATCTCTGCTATAATATTCAGTTTTAGTCATGTAGATAGGTAGATACTAACCTACAGGTAAGTTTAGTCATGTAGATATGTAGATACTAACCTGCAGGTAAGTTTAGTCTGTAGATATGTAGATACTAACCTACAGGTAAGTTTAGTCATGTAGATATGTAGATACTAACCTACAGGTAAGTTGTAACATTTCTTAGATTCAATTGTGTCCTTTCCACCACAAAGCATGATTTCTCCCTAAACAGATTTGTTTCCTCGCTCCCTCACTTTAAACTAAGATGTGCACACTCTCACGCAAAAATTAATCAGTATTTTTCCAATCACTTCTTTTAAACTATAAACTATGAAAAAACATGTTGCATTTTTAAAATGTTTATGCCTAGGGCTACAAAAAATCAAGGTGTCAAGGTGTTGCGACACCTTAAAGTAAGACTCTCTAAAAATTTGATTAATAACTTTCACAGTTGTCTGTGTACATCTCAGTGCACCATGGACCATGTGCACCATGTGAAGCATTCGGTTTCTTTTATTTGAAATAAAACCTGTTTTAACAATCTTCAAACTTACGGATTTGTTTATTTTATACTTTTTCATTCAAAAAGTATATACCGACAAAAGAGAAAAAAGGTTAAACAATTTGTGATCAAAAGTCACAGCTTTCTGAAATATTGACAGAACAGTTAAATCCACGTAAGTGGCCTGAAGAGCACTTTCAAATTTTTTTATTATTGGCCTATTTTCAGATTTTTGTACCCATTTTCAGATTTTCTTACCTTCTCCATGTTACTAGAGAAGAGTGCTGCAGACCAACCGAAAATGTATCCAAATTCTGCTGGAGGGATGTTAGGGGTTGCTTCGTTCCCATTGCAGACACTCTCAGCAGTAATTAACTCATTGCCTATTCTGGAAAGAAAATGATATTTTGCCAGATACTCTATTTTTTTTTATATTTGCAACCCGATATTATAGAATTTTGATCAAAAGTTTTACACCATCAGGTTGCAATGATATAGGAATTTAAAATTTGAGTTGGTGGCAAAAAACTCAGTTTCTTTTGAACAAAGAGTAGAGAAATATAATAGAGAGGAAGTAAAACTTTACATAACTCCTCTATTCACATCTCTGTGTTTTAGAAAAAAATTATTTCTGAGGAGTAATTTTCTTCTTTATCTTGACAATAATGCTTTATTCAAACTACCGAAAACTTGATAAAAAATTTAAATTTTAAATTATAGAAAAACTTTAGAACTTTTTAAATATTAAGATTAAATCTCAAAAACAAAAACAAAGAATTAGTGGTTTTCAGACCAATATATGGGATTCCACACTGTAAGTTTTTGGCCTGTTTTTAAAACGTTGAAAAACTTTTTCAAAATTCTCCTGTTTAACAAAAGATAGAACCAATCGCATTATAATTACAAAATATACAAAAAGATCAACAGTTTAGATTTAGGTTATGAGAGCAGTTTTTAGTTGATATTTTGCCTTTTGGATCCGGATCCGTATATATTTTGCGGATCCGGATCCAGAAAGATAAAATCTCGCGGATCCAACGAATTCGGATCCACAAGCACTGATTGCCACACAAATAAGTCGACCCGGTGTTGACTTTTGATGCATTATTTTCATATCTGTCTGGATCTTTGTTATTAAACTTGAACTTACCCTCCTCCAAGGCCACCAATAATTAAGGAGACCCAATCTTCCCCGGCCTCTGCGGTTAAAAAACCTTGAACACAGAAAAGTAGAAGAACAGAAACCCACGTCACTTGCTTCATTTTCTAAAAATTTTAGCGTTAAGTTATTTTTTTCGGATGCTTAAGTTTTGAGTGGAATATTAGTGTTTATAAACTTTTTTTTAAAGCAATGCACATTATTCATTTTTATTGTACAGGGTGTCCCAAAAAACATGGGAATTCATTGACGAATTGTATATCGTCTTTGCTATGAATTGGCATTGTAATACCTAATTTCAAAAGCCATAGTATTATTATGTCTGCTAGAGTTTATTTTATGAAAAGGGTAAAAGACTGTAAAGATGTGTCTATAATGTCTCTGCAAGATAAACACTGAAGACGGATAAGTTTACTCTGTTTGTACACTGCAATTTTCTTATTTTACTAAGTACAATCGTATGCAGTCAAAACGTACATAAACAAACAAAAAGTGAACATAGCAGACGAGATTCTTACAGATTACAGCTATCTCAGTTGGTATCACTATACTAAATCAAGGAATTATTTAAAAAGACGATATCGAATTCGTCACTGAATTCACATGTTTTTTGGGACACCCTGTATGATTTTTAAAAGTAGATACAGTAATAACCAGAAAACTGTGACTTATAAAGACGACTTTTAGATTCAAGTTATAACTTTGAAAAGTCATATGAGCATGAGACACAGCAATTGTGCAGTTTAAACAGACCCATTTGACTAAACTAGTGATTAAAACAGTGTCCAGTAACTATTTGCTTTGTTTCAACATTAAATACGATTAAGTATTGCTATAAAGTCGTCTTCATATTCAATTGTTTGCTGGTTATCACTTAACATGTTGAATATAAAAGACTTTATTATGATTTATTATGCTTTATCTGATCAGCAATGTTGAAAAATATCTTCGTTTTTAGTTTCAAAAGTATTTAATTCTTACACTCTATTCATTTTTATTTTTACTTGAATATGAAAGTTTTAATCCCATTATCCATTTTGGTGGATTTTTCAAACAGCTACAAGATTTCATTTTATTTTAGTTTCCCGCAATTTACAAAAAGCGTAAAATCTAGCTTTTACAGCTAAAAATCAGGGTATTGTTAAAATAAATTTAGTTCCAAACAGGGTAATCAACAAAGAATAAGACGACATTTAAACTTTCTATTTCTTTATATTCATGATTCCCTGCAGCTTTAAACTTCTTTCTTTCCTTGCCAAATTATTAAATCTATATATTAAAAAAACATTCGTTTATCCCATAGCCGGCCAAACGGCTGGACCAAATCGCCACCCTGGGGTAACAATAACATAGGCTAAATAAAAGGCTAAAATTTTTATTTTTCAAAATTCAATATTTTTTTTCTTCAAATTTTTCATTATTTAATTCCACGGGCAACGCCGGGATCTTCAGCTATAGTAAGGCATATGACCAGATTCAAGGCAGAAGACTTAATTTAAATTTATTATAATAATATCTTGATACTTCCAGGTCGTCTGTAGAGACTCATTCAAAATGGATAACACTGTGTATTGAATCAAGATGCAAACGCTTTGCTAAAAATTAATGAAAAACAAGTATTTAGCAATAGTTGAAATAAACTTCAGTTTTCAACAGTTTTGCAAGTATAAAATTAAACATAAAAAATGTTGAATATGAGTATTCTTCTCCTCAGATAGTTACTTCAAATGAACACTAATCATTGAAAGATAACAATAATCTTCTCCCTCTACGTCAGCAAAACTTCGGGTAACATTTAAACATTTGAATATTTTACTAAACAAATAATACTAAGAAAAAGATAATTTTGTTTGTTTAAATTCCAAGGTGAATTTATCATGGAAAAACTTTAAAATGAGTCAAAACTTGAATTGTTACGAATGTTTTCTAAGAATATACTATTTCACGATTTTTCCCCTTTGTTTTTACAGTATAAATTTTTTTTCTTAAAATGACCTCAAATGACCTCCCATGCAAAGATGGTAATGCCCGATTCAAAACCTTTATCTGATTTTAAAATGAGGAAGATATTGTTGATTTTCTAGGTTTAGAATTGTACGTTAAATTCTGATAATTCCTATATGTTTTCTGCAGTAGAATTGCACAAGACACTTTTGTACAGAAACCGGAGAAAGGTTACAGAAACTATAATTGAAAATAATCAGTTATGAAAATTATTAACATTAAAGTCTAATTCATACAATAGATCAGACAAGACGTTTAAGGGTACCGGTCTGAATAGGGAATTGTCCCTTTAAATTTCGCTTACAGTCCCTTTAAAATTCTAAAAAAAATTATGTAGGTTTCTGGTAAATTTGAATCATCCCAGGAATCAGGATTAATAAATAGATGTAAGCATTTTTATCTTTCAAGGTAAATAATACTTTGTATCTGAAGACACATAAAACTGTGGAATAGGAAGAACAAATTTAGGCAATCTGAGGCCGAATTTAAAGAATTTGAGCGGCGGCTTAAATTTAAGCCGCGGCTCAAATTATAAAGGGTTTCCAGTCGTAATTATGCATTTATTACGTTTACGAAAGAAAGACTAGTTTCGCGTAATTAAGGCGTAATTACGCGAAATTACGTAATACGAAACAATTCCGTAATAAATAAAGTACATATTAATTCTCAGAATTAATCATAGCGGGACAGTATGTGTAAGGGTATGCCCGTTACAACCATGTCAAAAATATTTTGACGATTTTTTTCAAACAAGGAAGGTAAACTTGAGAAAGTAGGTCGTAATATCAGTGGCGTAAAATAGGGGGGTTATATACCCCCCCTAGAATCCTGAGGGTAATTACCNTCATAGACGTAATTATTGCAAAATTTCGCAAAATTACTTTGTAGAAATTGAAGTTTTGCTAATTACGCGCAATTAATACAAAATTTCGCGCAATTACCTCGTAGAAATTACGCGAAATTAGGCCGTAATTACGCGTAATTATAGTTTCGCTTATTATGCGTAATCATTACGAAATTTCGCGAAATTACGTTATAGAAATTATGCGAAATTACGCCGTAATTTCGCGAAATGAATATTTCCCCAATTACGCGTAATTCTGCGAAATTAAACGAAATGAAAATTATTACGCGTAACTGCACGTAATTACGCGTAAGAGAATAATTTATTACGTTGGAAACCCTTCTTAAATATGGTTGGTTTCACTTAAAATTGTATTCAATGTTTCAAGATTTTAACCGTCGCTCAATTAAAACCGGTTTTTGGCGATTTAAGACGCGGCTCAAATTCATTAAATTCGGACCCTGGATGGCCATCCTTCTCTTCTAAGAAAGAAGTGATTTTTTCAAATATTTTGCCCCCTCCCCCTCCTTTGGTAGTTGAGACCCGTAGCTAGAAATTGCAAACATTTTTTTTACCTAAAAAACTCAAGAAGGGTCAAAATTAATGACTGAAGACTAAAAAACTAGATTTTTAACTCATCAGACGTATTATAGACTATAATAATGAATAATATATATATATAATATATAACTATAATTTATAGTTTATTATGATAGATATTTTGCATTATGTTTTCTTTGCCTTAAGTTCTACTGAGAAGTTATTTGCATCAAGACAAAAATAAATTGAAGGTGTAAAATGTAGAGATTTAAGTTAAACTATTTATAAAAGTTTTACTTCTACTACTTTTTGTTAATACAGTGAAAGTAAAGGATTTAAATGCCTGTAAAGATCTAGAAAAGCATGAAAATCTTTATTTTTCCCAAAACTAAAATTCGAAAAAACTCCCCTGGAAGCTATGAGGATGAGTACAAACAGCTTCTCCTAAACCTGGCCATATTTTATATATTATTTCAATTTGTCTCCATATTACTTTTTGCTGTACGATAGTTTATTAGAATCATCAATCTAATATGTAAATGAAGGGAAAAGGATAATCTTCTCAAAATACAAAAAAAAATATTTGAACCCAATATATTCATAAGACATGGATAGAAATAAAATTCCTAAATATTTTATTTCCGAAAAAACTCAAATTATCTTTAATTTGAAGAGAAAATAATCCTTTACACATAATGTTGGAAACAAATTTGGCCAATTTTCTTTTTTCGTTTTCTTCTTTTCATTTTTTCATTTTCTTCTTTCTTTGTCTCAGAAAGTGTGCCCCCCTGAGATGGGGGGGGGGGGG